GTGCGGCCCGCCCTACCGTCCGTCTCAGCCCGCGCCCCGCATCGAGATAGAGCAGGCCCCGCCGAGTAGGGAAACCGGTTACGACCACGCTGAAGATGCCCAGGGGAGGGTGGTTGCGAATGATGTTCAACCACGCCGCGTAGATACGATACAGAGGGACAATAGAGTCGCCGTAGAAATAAACCAGGTGGATCGCCGTGTACGGGTTACGTCGCCGTCGCGCGTCCAACGCCGCACTCTATCGCCTATACATAGATCGCCACATCGCCACGCGGATCGTAGATTACCGTCGCCGTGTAAGGATGTAGGTGCACGTAGATCGCCATCGCCACATCACCACGCGGATCGTAGATCACCGTCACCGTGTAATGATGTAGGTATAGATAAATCGCCACATCGCCTCGCGGATCGTAGATTACCGTCGCCGTGTTATAGGGATGTAGGTGTACGTAGGTCGCCAGCGCCACAGCGTAGGTTAGAAGGAAATAGGGATAGAGATAGGTCGCTCACCCCGCGAGGGAAAGATAGGGGTATAGAACGACTAGCGGAAGCCTTAGAAGGTATGATAAGACATAGACCAGCCGCCGCGAAGCAGACGCAGGACTTGTCTATTTTTTACGGTTCGGCCGCGGAATGGTTAGCGTTTAAAGCCGCGATGAAAGAATCCACGCGTTTATATGGATTCACAAATACGGAAAATATGGCAAGGTTAAGGAACTGTTTACGCGGTGAGGCTAGGGAAGTAGTATCGGCGCTGCTGTTTACCGCGAAGGATCCAGCAGACATTATGCGGACACTGGAGCAGTGTTTCGGCCGCCCGGAAGTAATTATAGATCGTGCGTTAGAGGAATTAAAACGCCTTCCGCGCCCGGGTCAAACCGCCCAGGAATTGAATTCGTTCGCTATTAAATTACAGAATATAGTGTGTATTATGCAGAACGTCGACGGCAAAGGATACTTACAAAATCCAATGCTAACTAGGGAGGTCACTAGCAAACTTAGCCCTCACTTACGGTCGCGTTGGTGCGATCATGCGGTGCACTACGGGAGTGCGGACGAACCGGACATTGTCACGCTATCCCGGTTCATGATGAGAGAGGCTGACCGTGCGTTAAGTCACGCCTATACGTCCGTAACGCCGACTAAGGAATCGCCTAGTAAGACGAGAAGCGCCGCCGTCGAAAAGGATAGTGTCGACACGCCGCGTAGAGGATAGGGCCCGCGACGTAAAGATGTTCACCGCCCAGGAGGACACCGGTAGTGCCTCATGTATGTGTTGTGGGGGTGAACACCCTATCGCCAAATGTAGGAAGCTAGCGCAAATGGGTTTGGACGACCGGTGGAAGTGGGTGAGGGAAGATGGGGTGTGCTTTAAGTGCTTAAGCAGCAAACACCGACGCATACGTTGTAAAGCTAGGAAGTGCGGCGTCAACGGTTGCAACGCCCCCCACCACGCTCTCCTTCACACCCGCAAGGCCCGCACGCCTGAAGCGTCGGTTAAACCGGATGAAACCGTGCTCGTCGCGTCGAGTGTTAGTAGTAGTGCGTCTGTACTATTGAAAGTGTGCCCCATAACCGTGCGCGGACCGCGCGGCAAGGAAGTTAATACGTATGCGCTACTTGACGAAGGCTCTACCATATCGTTGATCGACGACGACTTAGCGCGCGAGTTAGGAGCGGAAGGACCGGTAAAGCCGCTCAATATTAGAGGCGTAAGTAATAGTCAACGCGAGGCCAATAGTAGGTTGGTTAATATAGGGATACGTGGCAAGACGCGCAGCGAGATGTATAATGTGCGATACAATAATAACGATAGCAGATTTAAAGATCGGCTCACAGTCTATGAGTAGGGAGTGCTTACGGTTGAAGCACTTACGTGACTTACCGAGTTCGGTGTGTTACGACGACGCGAAGCCGAGATTATTATTAGGCGCCGACAATTGGCATTTAATAATCAACCGTAATTTGAGAATCGGACGTCGAAGACAGCCCATAGCGGCAAGAACGCTATTAGGGTGGGGAACTCAGGGAACCGTGCCACGGTTAACGTGTAGGGAAGACGGCGAGACTGTATTACACGTAGCAAGCACTAGCGGACCGTCAGATGAGGACATCCAGGCGCTCGCCAGTCCGGTTAGGAAAGTTTCACTACTGCCGAGACGCTACGCTCCCACGGGGGGAGTAATAGGGAACCAACCGCGCGACGATAAGGCGAATACGCATCGCGATGGTATGGACAGGCCTACGTTCATAACGGCTAAGGCGAAAGTCGCTCCGATCAAGGCGCAAAGTATACCGCGATTAAAGTTGCAGGCGAACTTAATAGGCGCGCGACTCGCGGAATTCGTGCAAGGCGAACACAGAGTGGTAGCGGATAGGGTCATATATTGGACGGACTCTACTACGGCGTTCCACTGGATACAAAATGATACGGCGCGTTACACTCCATACGTGGCTCATCGGTTAGGGGAGATAGCTGAGAAGACATCACCCGAGCAATGGAGGTGGATACCAACTGCGGAAAACGTAGCAGATCAAGCAACGCGCATGAATTTCGCAACCAAAGAAGAAAACGATAAGTGGTTTACAGGACCGCCCTTCCTTTACGAGAACGAAGACAGATGGCCTCACCGACAGGAAGAGAAGGCAGGGGATGATGAAGAGTTGGGGGAAATCGTGGCGCACCAGAGCGACACCAAGGACGCTCCACACCTGCCAGACATAGAAGTATTCTCTGCCTACGAGAGATTGATCAGGGCCACAGCACGAGTACTACAGTTCGTCGATACGGTACGAGGATGGGCACAAGGATTGACATTGCAGCACATCCAGAGAGCAGAGCGGATGTGGATAGAACACAGCCAACGTGAAAGCTTCGCTGAAGATATCAGCAGCCTTCAGAGGGGAAAGAATTTGGCCACAGGCAGCGCACTGAGGAAGCTCGACCCCATATTGGAAGATGGAATGCTACGAGCCAGGGGAAGGATCGACGCAGCCGACGTGGACGGCCAGATGAAGAGACCCATCATATTAAACGGCCACCAATTCGTGAAGCTACTTGTGGAGAAGGCGCATCAGGAAGCAAGCCACGCCAACAGAGAGAGAGTGGTGAACGACCTACGCACTAGGTTTCATATCCTCCGATTACGACCTACCGTACGAGAAGCGGAGCGGAGATGCCTACGGTGCAGGGTACGCAAGGCGACGGTTGCGGTTACAGGAGACTTACCACCCGAACGGTTAGGGGCGTTTGCGCGACCATTCACGTACACCGGAATCGATTATTTCGGGCCTCTGACAGTTACGATAGGACGACGGCACGAAAAACTGTGGTTGGCACTATTCACGTGCCTAACGACACGCGTAGTGCATTTAGAAATAGTTTACTCTCTGACCGCGGACTCGGCGATATCGGCATTGCGGCGCATGGCGGCTAGGCGTGGGTGGCCACGGGTTATTTACTCCGACAATGGCACAAACTTTGATGGGGCAAATACAGAACTGCAACGGGCGATGGAAGAGTCGGCACCGCAGCTGAAGGATTACGCGCTGACTCGGCGAATCGAATGGAAATTCATCGCACCGGGTGCGCCTAACCAGGGAGGCGCATGGGAGCGTCTCGTACGCTCAGTGAAGACCGCACTCGAAGCCACTCTGCATCAAAAGAGCCCACGGGAGACGTTGGCAACGCTCCTGACAGAAGCAGAGAACACAGTAAATTCTCGACCGTTGACGCACGTACCGGTCGACATCAACGACGAAGAGGCGCTGACACCCAACCACTTCCTACTGTTGGGACGATCGGGCCTACCAGTCATCGCGCCGTGTACACCCATGGATCGTCGAGCGTGTAGAGCGGCGCAGGGGCTCGCCGACGAGTACTGGAGGCGCTGGGTGAAAGAATACCTGCCGACGCTGGTTGCGCGCGGGGACTCCCGAGATGCTCAGCAGCGCCAAATCCAAGAAGAGGACCTCGTCGTGGTTGCGGACGACAACCTGCCAAGAAATGTGTGGCCGCGGGGTATCGTGACGAAGACATTTCCTGGAGCGGACGGCGTGGTGCGCAACGTCGAGGTCAGGACCAAGGGCGGAGTGCTGCGGCGGCCCGTCAGGAAGATCGCCGTCCTCCCGAGGGAAGCTTAGGCTCACAGGCTACGCCGGTGGGAGGATGTAGCAGACAGCGAAGGAGGCCGCCGCCCCTTCACATCCCGTTGCGCCCCGCGCACCCCGCACACCGGCAGCAGATCACGCGATGTTGCCGACCAATCAGCGCGCGGCATCGCCTTACGACGCTACTCACAAACCGTGACGCTCTCTTGCGGAATATAAGAAGGACGTTTTGGTCTGTGAGGTGTTCATTTCGGTTCATTTCGGCAGCGGCACTCGAAGAGAAGAAACAGCAAGAGAATTCAAGAAGAATCAAGACTCCACAGAAGAGTGAAGACTCTCTCTATATATATAGTTAATAGTTAATAGTGCCGCCTTGTAAATACTTGAATACAGTATAGTTCTACAGTACCATCTTTTCTTTGAGCAGGCCCCTAGCGTAGTCAATTAATACAGTCCACTTGCAATAGTCAGTAATACAGTCCACATTCAATCCATTATAAATAATATACCGTTATTGCTGTACTTTTATTTAAAATTATACCAAATTGAGTAATATGATTTAAGGGCAACAACGTTTATGGCTACTGATCGACCCTTACGAATGTGTACGTGTGCAGTAAAATAAGTTAAAATAATATATTACCACGCATTTTGAATTTAAAAGATATAAAGGACAGAATATTTGAGTTTGTTTTTTAATTAAGTTTTCTTCACAAATTGCCTATATTACTTATTCGGAGCCTTCTCTGCAAATTGGGCCGGTTATTACAAAATAGCCCTGTAATATTATATCATACATGCAAAATGTTTTGTACAGCGATTGTAAATCCAATTGGGAAAAATGACTAAGCTGGAAAAATGTGAAAATTTTATTAGAATTTAGAACTTACTTTTACAGTGAGAAGTCTTGTCTTCTTGCCATCCATTTGTACAATAAGTTTGGCATTCATATCCTTCTCCCTGCAAAAAAGAAAAGATAAAGTAAAATTTTGTACAACCGACTTCAATATAAATATAATGAAAACATCACCAATGTAGTCGAAGTCAATTAAATACGCATTATTAAGGATAACTCAAAAACTACTGGTCAGATCTTGATCTAATTTATATATGTCCACATGAGAACCACCAGCTTTCAAATAAAAAGAAATGTTTTTTATAGGATAAGGGCAACAAACAAGCACACAGTCCACCTGATGGTAAGTGGTTGCTGTGGCCCATAGACATCTACATCTATCCTCGACTATGAATCAAAATGCAGATGCGTTGTCACCCAAGAGAACTAAGATGGAATGCCTCGTTTCAAGCAAATATGTTCTCCGTTTCACTACACTTACCATACGAAACACAGCAGTGTTAAGCTACAATTTTACATTGATATTCTGTGGGAGAGTGATCCTTCCTCGATCAAACCGACCCATTCGTGCTACAACTATACTACTAATATAGCTGCAGCATGACTCTACCACATATAAAAAAGAATCATGAAAATCGGTTCACCTAGAAAAGTTTTGAAATAACACATAAAAAAACAATTTAATTGAGTACCTCCTCCTTTTTGAAGGTGGTTAAAAACAAAAATAATACTAAATATAAAGATAGATAAAAGGCAGAACAATGAACTTATGTAAAATAATTAATTAAATGATATCATACCCAATTCATTTCTATTACAATAATAATAACAATAAGAATTATTTTATATTTTCTTATAAATTGTAGGCACCCAGAGGAAAAGGAGGAAAAAATGATATAGTTTAACGATATAGTAGCGACGTAGCAGAATCTACTATCTCCTATTTACCCATGGGTGTCATAAGAGGTACAGAGAGAAATGAAACACAAGATCGGCAACAGCATTTCCCTTTGACGATTCGGTAACAATTAAAATAATAAAAAATTCAGTTGCCAAACTGCCCGCTAAACTTGGCCACTATTGCAAATATCCATCCTTTGAGTTAATCTATTGTGAAGACCTACGTTTGGCAGAGGACTTTTATAGGCTGTAATGGTAACATAAATGTCCTGAGTCCTGACTGATGAATAAATGGCCTGACAATGTCATAAAAGTCCTGAAATGGTATGCGAGTAACTATTTGTTGTAAATGTATTCTGCCTATATAAAGCGTAGAAGCTTTTTATTAGGATGTAAGTTCTAACATAGTGATCTAGATTGTAAATGTAACTGTAAGCTCTCAGAAAAGAATAAATAAAATAGAGATTGGTTTTACAACCACAAGTCTATTTTAAGACGGTGCTATTTTTTAATCTCTTTATATATAAAAATTACGTGTCACGTTGTTTATCCGCGATGGACTCCTAAACTACTAAACTGATTACAATGAAATTTTGCACACTGTGTGCATTTTGGTCCAACTTGAGAGATAGGGTCGTTTTTATCCTGATAAATGACCCCTCAAAATTTTTTATTGCGAATTTAAGGATTTTTATAGGAAGGGTCGTTGGAAAGGGCAGAACAACGTCTGCCTGGCGAGCTAGTTGTTACATAAAATTTATTCATTGGATAAAATGCAACGTAAACAAATTAAAAATTTAAGTCATATGAATACAAAACTTAAAATTTTTTTCTTATATATTTTATTTTATTTCAGTTATGTTATAATTTATTTCATGGATAACTTTTATCTAACAATTGAAAAATAAGCCCTTAGTATATAGTTCAAATAAGACAATAAATTTTGCAATTCCTTTTAAGGGCGGAGCAGTGAACTAACAGCGAGCAGTGAGTACTCCATCGAGTCAGTAATTCATTCTTGGGGTGATGTATACGCTTTTACAACAAAATTCTAGAAAATATACAAAATTTGACCTGCTCAAAGTTCAAAAACTTTATTAAACTAAGTTTGTATAAAAAGGGTTATTATAATATTAAGGAATTTATGGATGATAATAAACCCTGGTAATGAGGTGATTGCTACCAAGCTATTTCTAATTTGTTGTGTTGTTAATTTGTGTAACATACATGATTGTAAGATGTAAGCTGTTAATTAAAAAAAAAGTCCCGCTGGGTTTCTTGCTGGTTCTTCCCAGGACAGAGGTTTTTTTGTCGAACCAGTGGTAATTATACAAAAGAGTGACTTTCAATAAGTATTATTTATAATCTATATTGAATAAAAAAGTTTCTGTTTCTGTTTCAACCATACCAGTTTATTTATTTATTTATTTTATTAGGGATAACTGCAGCCTTCATTCTGTGACATGTAATTTATTTTACTTTTACTTAGGTTGTCTATCTTTACCAATTATAATTGTCATCCATTTTTACAAGTGATATATAATAATACTTAGCATACATGGCTAAATTTTTTTTAAAAAAACGAAAGTAACAAACAATCTTTTAGTCCATTCAATATGAGTGGTATAATTTATTACCAGTGTTTCTTAATATATTTTGTAAGATTTAATATATAATATGAATTACATAAAAATAGAACTTTTAGACCAGTTTTCTCTGTAATAAGCTTGAGTCACATACATCATATTTAATTGAAGGTTGGGCGAAAAGTAGAAGTATTACATTTTTAATTAGCTTCCACTCAGATTTTTATTATAATCCTGTATTGAAAATATATAAATATACCTATGTATTATTACAAACATTTTATCACAAATGTATAATTATGTTCATATAATATGAACCTATTCAAATTTACATAAAAACCCAAATATTTATTATTAATAGAACACATTTACAAGCAGATTTTTTTTATAAAACTAAAGTAATGAAATTATAGTTCACTTGGTGGTAAGTAGCTACTGCTCAGGATAGGTAACATGTGCCTATCACAGGACATGGCTCCTTTAACAAACATTTATTTACCATAGGTGTTACAGATAGTCCCCTGTGCAGGGCATGTATAGGGGAGGAAGAAACAGCGGCCCACATGTTGCTGACATGCCTGGAGGTGTCTGCAAACAGGGTGAATGCACACTTCATGTACCCTGTACTATCTTTGTGTATTAATTAAAAATTTAGTTTTCAATCAAATTAGTTATACCTATAATTTCTAATTTTAGTACAATTATTGTATTAAGACTTATTTTGAACTGTATGCCCTTATGTACTAGCAGCCGTATGATATATTGTTATCTTATGTATACAATTGTCTAGCTGCTCATTCAGCTGCAACCACACTGGCAGTCGGTTCAGAGTTCCCACAGCGATTGCACGTCTTATTTTGTTAGCCCTCTGCCTACGCACATATATACTTACTTTGTAAATTTTAATAGTCAAATATAGTATAATATTAATATTAACTCCCGTAACTTTCGTATTGTAACTTTGTCTCAAATTGTAATTAATATTAATTATTTTGATTTAATATATGTGTTGTATTCTGTCAGAGTAATATAGTGATAATTAATAGAAACTTGAAGTTTTATTTAACATTTCGATAGGTTCACAACCATAAGGGCTAAGCATCTTAGCACACTTGGATCACTCTCCGAAGTTGCTTGCAACATCAAAGGACTGTTGAATTTCTTTGCGGAGATTTCATGGCTAATTGATGTGGAATTGTGGAAAACAGTAGCTACTGCTGTCCATGGACACCTGCAGCCAACTTCAAACAAAGAAGGCTACAGATACTTTGTCATCCCCAAGGACTAAAATGGAATACCTCACAGTTTAAACTATACTGGCTCTCTATACCCCGCACCAGGGAACTGCAGTGCAAACAATGCTCTTTGGCGGTGGGAATACCTGACTACTAAGCAAAAGAAAAGTCCATCCAAAAGTGCAGCACCTAGGGCCAAGAAGCTAAATACACATACTAAAATATAAACTGGGTTAATACTTTGAAGCATATTGTGAAAACTAAGCTCAATTGCTAAGTAATATTATCATTATGTTTCTTATTGATAAAGAGCTGCCAATTAATTCCAAATTTATGTACAATGCTTTAAGTAATAAAGTTCAATCACACATCTTGAATATATGTAACAGAAACAACATAAATAACCTTTATTTAACATGATTGCATTAAGAAATTGAAACATATTATTAAACTCATTTATATTTATCTTGTTTGAGAACATAACATTTTGTGCTTGCAGATATGGAAGGATAAGAATTTAATCATTATATTCTGTAGTAATGAAAAGTAAATATTTCTATCTATTTAATAATATTGATATTGAAATGCATTATTTGTGTATACAATTATTTGTTTGTAAACAAAAGGAAATAAACAGTTTGGTACTTTAAAACAGTTTGCTCTAAATAATAAAACACAAGCATTTACAGTTTCTTGCATCTGGGTCAGAAACTACGCTTTTTTTGGTAACTTTCATTTAAATGATCTCTCAAAGTACAGTTCCCGCTCCAAATGCAGACGAACCGTGAAAGTTATTCTTCATGACATCATTGACTTTTTGTACTTTCAAAAAATGAAATAAGAACAGATTTGTAACCCTTGTAATGTTTTGTTATTACTCAGATTAATATACTATTATTATGAAACTATTTCTACGGTTACCTATCTAACTGAATCACTAATAAATAATTAGTTATACGGTTATTGTACCTTACAAAATTATATTCTCTGATTTTGTTACAAATAATGTTTTAATATTATGGGTAATTTTCCAAAAATCACCACACCCACCTTTGATTGAACGGGCGAACCCTTACAGCCACTTTCACCGAAGCCATTGTCACACATTATATTGTTAAAAAAATTAGATATTTGTGATAATTACATCTAAAATAAACGTAACACTACAAAGCAAAATAAGTTGACATTTTTCACTTGACAGACGACTGCTGCGAGTGTCCGTCATCTCATTCTACATCCACAGATTACTACGAAGTACGATTACGAATACGAACTAGACATGAGCATGAGTCCGATATATCAAAACGTAACCAGTACTGCGTCAGTACTTCTTATTAGTTTGTGGTTTACACAACTTATCATATCGTATCAATATGCTGAACAAAGAAAACGGTTTTTACAACAACGCTCAATTAAAGTGAATCCAAACGCAAAACAACTAACGTAACTTCTCATATCTTTAAATCATAATATATCTATTCCGTAAAATTACGACGAAGCAACATAACTATCAACCTATCTACTAGATATTAGCCATCTCTGTCCAACTGATGACCGTACAAGTTAAGAAAACGAGACAAGGCGAATATCTGCCGATATCGGCCACGTTTTTCGTTAGCTGTTTAGTTGTTTGGTTACTAACCTAAATACAAACGCCAAAACGTTATGCTATTTTAAATTAAGCCTTAACATGGTCAAGTCTAATGTCAAGTGTTTATCAAAAGCTTGACTTAATGAGGCGCATTTTGTGTAAATCGTGGCACGTGCTGATGTCTTACAAATTAGTTTTGAACTTCCAAATTATAGTCAATCATAAATATTCAAATTATGTAAGTGACTAAACAAAATAAAAATAAAAATATAATATCGCAAAGAATCTGCCAGTGTCTGCCAAACTAAAGAGGCTGCCAAAGTAATATACCACACTAAAGCTTTATCCCTCTCGCAAGCATCAAAAGTCATACCGTCGGGTCTCCTGCAATCGTCTCTAAATATACTATAAAGTAAAGCTAAAATCAAGGGCACAAGCTCTTCAAATGACGTCGTTCAAAGAACCGCGATGGGAAAACATTACATTAAAGAATACCATATTCTTATAGCACGGTTATTTAACCGTGTAATAAAATCTGAAATTAAAGGTGGATTTGACCAAATACTATGTTGCACCAGAGTAACTAACCTTCGTAATTTTACTCTTTGGTCTAAATCTCAGATCACTTTGTTTGCGTTTATCTAACCCAAACTTGAGTAGCCAATACTGGGTATTATTATTCTAGTTTGTGAATCAATAATAACCGTAACATTTGATAATTATCTGTTGTCGGAGACTTTAATTGTTAACAGATATGGGTAGAAAACAACATCGATAAGTATTGTAGACAAGGAACTCGACAACCGTATTGAATTTTAGTCGCAATAATATAAAGCCAAACTTATGGGTATTTACGATATTCAGATTAGTAACAAATTTGTAAGTAGTAATTATTTGTATGGTATATTATTGATAATTATAAGTTGTGAATTTAGTAGGATATTTACTTCTAAAACTTTCTCATTTAACAGTCGCAAATCATTTAATGAATGGGCGAAAGTAGAAATTTATAAAACTAGGCGAAGGTTATACAAGCTTTATGATGAAAGATCATATGATAGTAGTGTTATATTTAGAGATTATGTAAAAACATATTCTAAAATATTTAAAAAAGTGTGTTCCACTGCTAAGGCTTTACATTTAAGCAACAAAATTAAAACTGCATCCGACAAAATTAAAATGACCTGGAGAATAATAAATAGTGAAACGGGCAAGGTCAAACCGCGCAACTCGGATTTTCAATTGAATGTTAACAATAATTTAACGCGATCTGATCAAGAAGTTGCTATGGCTTTTGAGAAACATTTTACTGATGTTCCTTTTTTGACAACAAAATCATTAAATTCTTCTCCTACTGTCGCCGAATCATTGCTCAAACAAAATGTAAAGGCTTGTTCAAATACTTTTAAATTGCATAGAGTACTGCCAAAAGATATCGTTAAATATTTTAAAACTATTGATGTTAAGAAAACTGCAGACTTATGGGGGATTTCCGTTAAAGTTATAGCCACTATATTTAATACAAGCGTCGAATCTGGTGTGTTTCCTGATTTAATGAAACATAGTAAAGTCATACCTTTATTTAAATCTGGTAGTACATTAGACCCCGCCAATTTTAGACCGATTTCTGTAGTATCATAGTAGATGTTAAGTTTCTTTAATATTAATAAATTGCTACATAAAAATCAATTCGGTTTTACAAGGGGTCGCTCGACAACTGATGCTGGAGTTGAGCTTGTTAAACATATTTTTTGTGCATGGGAAAATTCAGAGGATGCTTTGGGTATATTTTGTGACCTTTCCAAGGCCTTCGACTGCGTTCACCATGAGACATTAATCAGGAAGCTACAGTACTATGGTGTCAAGAACACAGCGCTTAAACTCATTATTTCATATTTAAGTAATAGAATGCAGAAAGTTATTATCAATGGTAATAGTTATTCCGGCTCACCTAATGGGTGTCCCTCAGGGCTCGATTCTCGGCCCATTCCTATTTCTAGTGTATATTAATGACTTACCTTCTCTTGAAGGGGATAATCATGATATAGTATTATTTGCTGATGATTCTTCCTTGATTTTTAAACTTAAACGTCAATCATTTAAATGTGATGAAGTGAATAATGCTATATCAAAATCAGTGCATTGGTTTAATGTTAATAATCTACATTTAAACGGAAATAAAACTAAATGTATAAAATTTACAACAACGAATGTTAAAAATCTGAGTACCAATGGGAAAGAACTGAGCCCTGTTGAATCTACTGTTTTTCTTGGCATCACTCTCGACGCAAAGCTTCAGTGGGGCCCCCATATGTCCAAACTAGCAAGCAGACTAAGTTCTGCAGCCTATGCTGTAAAAAAGATTAGAGGTCTTACTAGTGTCGAGACAGCTAGATTAGTTTTTTTCGGTTATTTCCACAGCATAACGTCTTATGGGATTTTACTATGGGGAAATGCGGCTGATTCTGAAACTATTTTTGTTTTACAGAAGACAACCTAAAACCGAGAGAGACTCTTAGAGATAAATTTAAAGAAATAAATATATTAACTTTAGCCTCTCAGTATATTTACGAAAATTTAATGTATGTTCACAAAAACAAAGGTAGTTTTAGTAAAAAAAGTGATGTACATTCTGTTAACACTAGGAACAAACACAAGCTAGTGATACCAGTTTCTAGACTCCACAGAGTCAGTAATTCATTCTTGGGGCAATGTATACGCTACAACGTAGTGATTATATTCTCCTTGGATATTACAACAAGGTCCCGGAAAGTTTACAGGCTCTCTCTATTACCAAGTTTAAATGTTTTGTTAAGTTGAAATTGTATAAAAAGGGTTATTATAGTATAAATGAATACGACGACCGAATCCTTTCCGATCGGCTCGATTCATTGGCACTGCGAAGAGATGTTGCATCCCGTTGCATTTTCTTTCGCATCTACCATGGGGAGTGCTCTGAGGAATTGTTCGGATTAATCGCAGCCGCCAAATTTCACGAACGCACATCGCGGCAGAACTCCCGATACCATCCACACCATCTGGATGTTTGGCGGTCCACCACTGTGCAATTTAGAAGATGTTTTCTTCCTCGCACGACTTCCTTGTGGAATCGATTACCATCAGCGATTTTTCCGGACCGATACGACTTAGTGTCCTTCAAGAAAAAAGCGTACACCTTTTTAAAAAGCCGGCAACGCATCTGTAATTCCCTCCCTAGTGTTGCAGTTGTTCATGGGCGGCGGTAGTCACTTTCCATCATGTGAGCCGCATGCTCGTTTGCCCCCTCTCCTATAAAAAAAACATGGTTGATAATAACCCCTGGGAATGAGGTGGTCGCTTCCAAGCTGTTTCTAAAATAAATTTTGTATCTACCAATCATTAATGTAAAATATGCTTTTAAAAAAAAGTCTCGCTGGGTTTCTTGCTGGTTCTTCCCATGACAGAGGTTTTTTTTTCGAACCAGTGGTAAAGTAAAAAATGACTTTCAATAAGAATTACACATGTGATCTATATTGAATAAAAATTATTCTATTCTATTCTATTCTAAGTACCTATATTATCAAATAGGTTTTTTTTTAATATTAACTGTAAAATACACTTACTTGTAGAATGTTATCCCATTTTCCTTTTGGCAACGAGTTTTACAAATCACGCACTCTCTTATTATTACTAAAAATAATTCTTATTATATAACTAAAATCAAACATATTCAAAATACACGAAATACTTTCATTTATTTGGTTAAAAATTTAAAATACAGTTAAGCGATGCAACAAACTTTGGCAAATTATGTAAATTTTAGTTCTCGGTACGAACAATGGCAGCGCTTCAAATTGGCACAAACATTTTGTAGGGTATAGCCAGTCCAGTGTACTTGTACTGTGAACCCCCGATAATCTGGCCCCTGGCTAATCCGCACCCCCTTGTAGTCCGACATGCCTTTAACATGTAGGTACCATTGAGTCGCGTTATGAATCTGCCATGGGGGGAGGCGGGGGAGTCTTTCGCGAATACGTGAACAAAGGTTGCAATTAGTTTGGTGTCATCACGAATCTAGTCTTAGTTAAAATGTGACTATGGTAACGGCCTAGCGGGCATCAATTATTTACTTTTTTTATTATTTTATATTTGATATGTAATTTGTTGGATTACCGCGGGTCAGCTGTAAATATAGAGATCAGTGATGTGTGCACTATTATAGAAGTGTCTATGCTTGCTACATATATATTTATCTATGGTGTCTATCTATATTACCGATTAAATAATGTTAATTAAGGAATGGAATCAAATGATCGATCCGCGTTATAAAAACGTAATTTTCTTTTTTTTTTCTTCTTTAACTAAACTTAATAATTTAAGTAAGGGAATTTGTATGAATCAGTTAAATAAAATTGTTCTGTTTAAATACCAAAAAGTAATGGTAATTTATTTGTTTAAAAGTAATTTTGAAATGTTTGCCGGTGAAATAAAAACATCTCCGTTTGACTGAGTACATAATGAATGTTTTATTTCTTATACAAATTGCTACCTATTTATATTTTATTAACATCATGTTAAAAAATAAAATCCCAAATTACACAG